AATCATCATTTGATCAATTAGTTCTCGAGAACAACCAGAGTTTAAATCATTAAAAAGAAAAACAAATTCTTATGTAAGCCGAATTGTTTTTTGTTTTTGTTTTTTTATAAGAACAGGTAAACCATTTGAAAATGTTGTCTTATAAAAGAAAAAGAAAATATTTTGTTTTTATTTTATTCGAAAATGAACATGTGGATGTGAAACAGAAATAGGTGAAGAATGATGATCGAGAGATGTAGAATCTGATATTTGATCCATTGATAATTGTTTATGTATTGTTGGAAAATAAAGATCAAGATTATCGATTTTTTCGAGTAGATATTTAATTCTTTCAATAGAATTTTTTGGTAATTCTAAATGATTTTGTTGTTGAAAATTATTTTCAATTGTCTTTAATATAGTTTTTATTTCATCATTACCTAATTGATATTGTCTAGAAAAGACAACAAAAAAAAAAAATTTCTACTTAGAGCATTCTAAAAATAATGATGTTGGCACTATAATATCTCATGTTAAGAAATACGGACAGTTCCGATCGGAAAACTCGAGAAAATGGTAAGAATTTAGAAGTAGGAATCCAATGACCGAATTGGCCTGATTACGACTGGAACTAGAAAAATCCGGCTGCCGAATTCCTACCATTTTCCAGAGTATTCCAGTGGAATCCTACCGAAAATTCACGGATTCATGCCTTGGAATCATTGATCTGAGACTGTATTGAAAGCTGAAGAAAATTTTCTCTCTTTATATTCTGTGATAGTCCAAACAGTGCTCTATAATTCTACAATATTTCATAATTCTTTAGTTGATATCATAATAATCAAAATTTCGGCGAAAGTTCATCGCTAGGAATCAGATGATATAGTCATTTATGCATCATCATGTATGCCTATTCGCGTATGCATGATTTGCTATCCATTGATAACAAAAAAAAAATCTATTCCAATTTTGTGAGAGCATTTACTTTCTGTTGAGGATGTAGGTATAGTTCTTCTCCTCATCCAAATTTCACACTCACATGCTTCAACTCCAAGATGTCGGAAAAATAAGGTCATAACAGATGAATGTTTAATGAAATTGTGGTAATTTTATGATGAAGATCGTATAGATATTTCAGCGTTCTTGAAAGCTTTTGGATTGAGATATCTTTTTCGTTCTGATAATACATTGATTGTCGCAATGACTACTCATTCGCTCATTTCTCTTCTTCCAAATAATTAACGGAAAGTAAATCTTCGCAGAAGCAAAGCGCTAGCTGGTATATATTTTTTGTGTAATCAACGGATAGTAAATCGTGCAAACTGTCGATTCTATCTATAACGACATTAGTAATCATCTTCTTTAAGTCAACTGGTTCTGTTTTTATCCATTATATGAAACAGAGTCAATTTTTCACTCACCGATATTAGAGCTGTGATTGTTTTCAGCCTATTGGCAACGAAGCCAAGAAGTCAAGACCTTTGTTTGATACTTATGCTATTATACTTTGTCAAGATAATGGCAAACCGTACATATGTGATTTTTGGTCGTTGGACTTGATCAAACAAAACCAAAAGCGATTCCGGATGAAATACTTTCTTCTATAACTAAGTGCATGATCTATTAGAGCAAAACATAGAAAAACTTTCGATAAATAGATCCAACGGATGCAATTCTATGTAAGCAATCCGAATGATGACTTCAACACAGTTGATGAAATGAAAACTTAATGAATATGTTTCTATATTTATTCTTCGTTGAGCAGCTACTATTTTTGCTGCGTACTCCCTATATTATAATAGCAACTAAAGAATAATGAAATATTTTAGAATTATAGAGCAGACTATCAGTATATAAACGGAGAAGGTTTTTTTTGAGCTTTCTATACGATATTATAGTGTCGACGCCTCATTACTTCTTGTGTATGCCCTATGTATTTTTTGTTCGATTAACTAACCGAATAATTTCATTTTGTATTTTTTCTTGATGATTAAAATGTAAACATTCTTTTTGAAAAATTTTATTTTCTTCATCAATATCAAATAAAAGTAAATTATCATTCGGATAAATTTTTGTTGTTGATGGTGTATTATGATGACTTATTGTTTGTGTTAATATATCATAATTAACTGGTGTTGTTTTTTCAATAACTGATCCTATTGTGCCATTACTAAAATGAAAATTTAATATTGTATCAAGAAAATTTTCTTCATGTTTATAAGGAGATTTTAAATAATTATTAAGATGTAAATGTGTTATTGTTCCAATAAAAATAAAAATTAAACCAATTAAAAAACACATTATAATAGACGTAATACTAATAGAATATTGTATAGAATTAAAATAATTATAACAAATTATAGGTTGTTGAGTTAATGAATGAAGACAACATTGATTTATTTTTGAGTGATTAAAAATAATCGTTTTTAGAAAGGTTATTTGTTCATTTTGAATACGTGAACGAGATATACATGATGATGGTTCATAAGAACATGATGAATTTAAATTAATATTATATGGAAAAAGTTTCGATTCATATGAAAAATTATTATAATGATAACGTACAAAAACAACTAGTTCAAGAAAAAAAAAGTATTTTATTTTTATTTTAATCTACAGAGTATTCGAAAAGTCCAAGCGACACGAAACGGAAAACCCAAATAGCTTCTCAGCAATTCAAGGGATTTAAATATTTTCTCTTTACAGTTTAATTACATATTCACTAAAATATATTTGAAATAAAATGTTTCCACTTAAAGAAGTCAGAATTACAATAGTTTTACTCATAATCAAATTCGAATAAGATAATATTGTGAAGCTCATTTTCAAAAGTATGATTAACTTCAGTGATTGTTGTAGGCCTTCCAGAATGTGATCGATTTTCCACAGTATCAATTTCATAAAATCTCGAAAGTGTGATTCAGTTGGTACATTTTTACCGAATTCAATTTTCAGGATGTAAGGTGACAACAGTAGCTGGCTCAAATTGGACAATCAGTAAAACTATTTTAATTCTGACTTCTGTAGATATAGACGATTAATTTAAAGATTATTATGTGATAAAACTGTGAAAAAAAACAGTATTAAAATTACTTGAATTGCTGAGAAATTATTTATGGTCTTTTTTTTTGTTCGAACTTTTGAAACACCATGTATTTCAAACAAAATCAATTTTACTTACTTGTACATACGTAAGGAATACAATAATTAAAAATTCGACATCGACGTGATGCACATAATTTTACATGTGTATGTGTTATATTTATAATTGCACAATCAATTTTATTTATTAAATGATATTCGTATGTTATATAGATTATAAGGAAAATACATAGACCAAGAGCAATTAAACTAATACCAGATATACCAAATATAACAGAATAAAATTCAAGTTTATTTCTTTCAAATTTATCTAACCATGAACTAAGAAAATAGAGACGACGACGACTTGAAGAATTATTATTAGGATCGAGTTCTAGTTCATTAATATTATTAGATTCTGTTGATCTTTCTTGCATAAAAAGACAAATAGCGTATCTTTTAGCGCCTTCTTTAATTTCATTAAGGTTTGTTTTTGATACATAGAATCATGTTAATCTTGTTATAAAATGAATTTACTGGTGATCGAAATAAAAAGCTTGTAAGCACAGCCTCTTTAGGATTAAAATATCGAACACACATGTGTTCTTTAGCGTCATTATTCTAATACAAAATACATGAAGTAAAAAATTTCTTACAATCTGTAGTTGTTTTCCTAGGATAATCGCTTGATTTTTGAATTTCGAACAGAATTTTTTTAATATTTTACAGACGCTCTATTGTTTACTTGCCTTGTTGCTATCTGAACTTCTTGTTTTTCTTTTCTATATTCCATTTTTCTTAATGTAACTTTTATTATTATTATTCTAATCATTGATTCAACTGATAAATAAGACTTTTGTACACATCGATTATATCCACAGTAGGTGTCAACACGTTACTATGCATCTTGATAAACTCAGAAACATCAATTTTGATTGTTCTCCAACGTTATGGCTTGATCAGTTCATCCTTTTTTATGTTGATCATATGACGACTGTGGTAAAACAATACGATACTATCCACCGTTCGTGACATTTTTTTTGTATAATTATTTATCTGTATAAAAACTATTTATAAACGTATGCCAGACATTTAAGTTTCAAGAAAGACTTTGGAACGTTCTAGAACTCAATTGTTAATACAGTTCAGGGCCTTTTTTTTCCATTGCAAAAGAACTATGAGAAAGAAGTCGGGCGTGTATTACCATCGGTTACTAGAGTAAACGTACTCACTGACCTCTGAATAGCTCCTCGCTGTTGCGAAAACTCAAAAAACGCTAGAAAAGAGTAGGAAAAATTCGCCTTAAACACTTACACTCGCTAGCTTCTTTTGAAAATATATATGCGAGTTCCACAATAATGTTGTTATTTTCCAGAATACTTCTAAAATTGCTGAATTATATTAAAAGATCATCAGGTAAAACTGTGTATATAGAACTCGAACGGATTAATTCTATAGTTGATAACGTGAGATAAGATATCAATGTTTGATATAAATGACGCATCAACCAATTTGAATCTTAGTTTATTGTAAGATTGAATTGTGTCATGAGATTCGATCACATGTTGAGTACTTCATACAACCAGCAATATATCGATATCGTCATTCTCTTATTAACCTTGTCAAATAGACTAATGAGTGCATTGGATATTTTTGATATGTCAAGGTATCGTGATTCTTAGTACGTAGAGAAATCAAAATTTCTTTAAGACCAGTTATGTAGTAAACCAATGACAATGATGATGACGCTGCAAAATTTTTGCATTCTCCTTTAGTATATCCTAGGATCATTATTTTTCTTTCTTTCCTTCTGTTTCTTTTCGTATGTAGCTATTGTGTCTCCTTGAATTAATGATTCATATTTCTTCTAGATTTTTCTTCATTTTTTCAATATAAAATCGCGTTTCAACACTATTTTATTTTCTTCTCATCTATTCATCATGTCATCCAGTGGTTCAGGCGATAAAGCTAGTGGAAATAGTATAAAGGATGAAATCAATCAATTAATTAAGGATCATAAAGTTATGGTATTTTCAAAAACTTCTTGTATGTAAAAAAAACACATTTTTGTTTTCAAAAAAAGAAAATAGTAATTTTTTTTTTGTTGTATAAAGGTCCATATTGTACAAAAGCCAAAAAAATTCTTGGTAAATACAAAATAAAAGATTATAAAGTTATTGAACTTGATAAAATGGAAAATGGCGATGACTATCAAGATGAACTTGGACGAATTACAGATGCAGATACAGTTCCACGTGTATTTATTGATGGTGAATGTATTGGTGGTGGTGATGATACAGAAAGATTAGAAAAACAAGGTGAACTTGAAAAAAAATTGAAAAAAGTCAATGCATTAGAGGAGTAAAAATAAACAGAATGATACATTGTTATTCAAGACTCCTTTTCAATTTATTCTACATTTAATATCATACTTGCGATTTTTTCTTTTTAAAACTTTACAAATAAACATAACCCAATTGACTTTGCTTTTTGTTTTGTCTAGTTTATGCTAATTAATATTTTAGAAAAACAAAAATAAAGATGACAGCAACAAGTCATGAAGATCAAAAAGATCTTGAAAAACTTTTCGAAATTATTCGTCATGTTAAATTTGCAATGTTAACAACAGTTAATGAAGATGGTACACTTCATAGCCGGTAGAATTTTTGTTCTATTGAATTCATTTTTAAAACAATTTAGAAATCTGTATTTCTTTTTCTTTTTTGAGACCAATGATTAATAAACAAGCTGATTCATTCCATGGTGAACTTTGGTTTTTTACACATCGAAGCAGTAATATATTTATTAATAAATCAATATTTATTAGTTTCTGGCCTTTTTTTATTTTAGCACATAAGATTACAGAATTAAAAAGGGGTTCAGAAGAAGTCAATGTATCTTATGCAGATTCTGATCATCACTCATGTATGATTCTATTCTATATATTAATCTTATTATAATATAATTGAAATCTTTTAAGATGTTTCAATTAGTGGTCGTGCTAATTTAGTTGATGATAATACAAAAAAGAAGGATTTATGGAATGATTCTCTTAAAATTTGGTAAATCAAAATAATACATGAAGTACTACGAAACTTTCTTCGCTTAACTCTCCTAAAAGTGATCATTTAAGTGCAAGTATTCCATTATCATGCATAGAAATATTTAGGATTATGTGCAAAGTTTCAGCGTTTTAGGTCGTATGCATAGTTGTATTTTCTCATTGCTTTTATATTAGCAACACAAAGATACGGGGGATCAAGTTTTTTAGGTCTCCGTCCTGATGGCTTCTTTCCTATTGTTTCCAGTCTCGTTTTGGGTCTTGATCTAGAGAAAACTATTCCAGAATTTATTCGTACTATATCTAAAAGAACTCTACAAGACTCATTTTTTGATTCACTTAGTCAATGACTAGCATTTTCTTTTTGGGTCATCTCTTTTGACTTATGTTCTGATTAATGATACATAGGATAATTCGCAATTAACTATAGTCTTTAATTCCTGTTGAGACAATTATTTTCTCATGGCTCCGATGACCGAAATCGGGATTAAAATTGATTCCGTACAATTTCTAGCGACACACCATAGTCGATATGAGTTTGAATTCTCATATGATGAATTTTGCAGTATGATTGTACACGAAAATAAATAATTTTTTATATCAATGACAAAATCCAATCTATGGGTAAAATCAGTTTGTCTCATGAGGATTTCAAATCCATTTAGATTCCGTATTAGTAGTGAACAATCCAACATTTCGGACAGAGAAAGTTCGAACTCATATCAAAAATGATGGGTGATTAATATGAAAGAAACGAGAAAATACAACTAAAAGATTGAAATTTTGCATAATCCTAAATATATCTATGCATGGTCAGAGAATACTTAGACTTAAATTATGATTTTTAGGAGAGTCGAGTGAAAAAAACTGTTGTAGTGGTCTATGTAGAATAAAAAAATAGATGAATTTGATGTATTTTATCAATATAGGTTTCCAAATGGACTTGATGACCCTGATTTAACATTGCTTCGGTAAGTGATTTTATATTTCTTATTAGAAATATATCAATTATTTTTTTAGTATTAATATTGTCGAAGCAGAATATTGGGATTCATCAGCATCAATTATGAAAAAACTATACGGATTAGCTAAAGCTGCTATTCTAGGTGATCATTCATCGTTAGCTGCTGAAAATAAAAAACTCACTTTAACTTAAAATAATCAATAGACATCTATTCATTCCAGCTATTTAGTTTTAATCAAGCATATATTTTATTTTTATTGTTTTTATTTTATATCTTTTAATTCAGCGAACTATGTTTTATCTCGTTTTATTTCGAAATAAAATTTATTTACATTATTTGTATGTTCCATCAATCCATATATGTTAATTGAATGATTGATCGCTTTAAAAGGATTATTATGAGGAAACTATTCAAGGGATAAAAATCGATTCCAATATTCATACTAAATTAAGACAAAAAAAAATGTCTTGATTTGAAATGTCAACAAAAATCTCGTTATCTTTACAAATGACGAGTCGTGTATAATATGTTTTATTCATCATTTGAATTTATTAATGTTATATATGGAGATCGAAAAGATCAATATATCAATCAATTTGATTCGTTCACAAGACATCTAATTCACATTTATCGTTTAGGTACTCAGACAACTTTGATAAACCCGTAATGAGGTATATATTTGTTAACATATACAGACTAGAAACTACAATTGAATTAGCTCAAGCTTATTGGTTTTCGATAAAATGGAAGGATGCGTCTAAAGTGATAACGCAATGAATGACTATTTGTTGATCATTAGGAGCGATGAGAGAAGCAAAATAATTTTTTTTAAGGACTCCATCGAGAGAGAGACACGTCCTGCCCACATCAATCTTTTTTCTCATCTTGTTTTTGTTGAATGGTTTTTGTAAGTGGAAAGTAATAGTTCAGACGACATTTATTCTATCGTTTATCTAGAGTGAACAACACATCATCATGCAATCTAATATCATTGTCCGGTTTACTATGGCTGTGTGTCTTATCTTTCTACTATTCACTACTGTTCTTTCTGAATCTAGTGTAAGTTTTCAAAATATTTATTTAATTATTCGAAACATTATGCTCGTAATTTTTTATTTTAGCTATCTGATTCAAAATCAAAGTAAAAATAATCCATTGATATCATATTTTTGTTTTTCATATTGAAATTTTTTTAGATCTAACATTCGTGTAGTTCGATCAGCATTCAGTGAACCAGATGATGATCTTAGCAGATTTTGTCATTATCTTTGTACGAATAATCAATTCTTGGCAAAAAGGTAATAAAGTTCATTTTTTTTATCATATAGACTAATTCATTGTAATTTTTTTAGAGCTTATTTAAAAGGTTTTGTTCATGGTCGATCACCGAAGGAAGATGCCGAACAACAGAATAACGATGATGATCTTCTCGAAGAACGCTTTGTTCATGGCAAACGTTTTGTTCATGGTTAAACATCATTAAAATAAACTTTTCATTTTATTCATAGACATATATCGTTATTATTAATTAAAAAGGTTCTCAAAAATAATACGATTCGAGTTATTAAAATAATAATAAAGGTTAGATATGATTGTAAAAAATCTACTATTCATCAAATTCATGTTCATCACTGACATCTAATGGAAATTGAGAGTGTACGAGTTGTTTCCTTTGACAACAATCAGTACTATGAAATAAGACAAGATGAAAAAAAAAGAAGTAGAGTATAAATAAAAACAAGAAGACCTTCAATTTGATGATTCAACAAGATATTGGAAAAAAAAGAAATTGACTGCCACAATTCTTAAATCTAAATATAATTTTTTGTTTTTATCTTTATGAATAAAAAAATCTAAAGTGGGTTTCATATTCAATAATGATTACATATCCGGAATATAAAATAAATAATCAAACGATTTTACAAGAACAATTTGATGAAAATTATGAACCTACTCAAGAAGAAATTCGTGAATATGCAATTTACATTGGTATTGAACCAGATAAAGTAAATTATCGAGAATAAAAAAAGATAGAAAATTTTAAACAACCATTTGAAATTTTTTTTTTTTTGTTTTTTGCTATAGGAACCTCATCTTTTTTGGTTAGCTAGAGAAGGTATTATGAAACCATTACCACTTGGCTGGAAACCATGTCAAGAAGAAAATGGAGAATTATATTATTTTAATTTTGATACTGGTAAATCATCATGGGATCATCCATGTGATGAAATATATAAATCTCGTGTTCTTGAAGAACGGTATGTTTTAGTTGAATTTTTCATTGTACTTTTTAATATGAAATCTTCTTTTTTTTTTTAAGACGAAAACAATCATCATCAACAACTCTACTTGATACAAATCCAAGAGGTAGATATTAGAGTTAATCAAGGTTATTTATGGAAAGTCCTATTCTTTAGCGGTTAACTGAAAATGTTTTTGAATTATTTTTCTAACAGCCATTTTTTTAACCGTATTTGGTAACTGCATGAGCAAATATTGTTTTATTTACTTAATCAGGTAAATTACGTTCGACAGAATTACTTCGCCAAAGATTAAATGGTGTCAAGCCCGGCAAATATAATATTATATTGATACTTTCTCCTATTAAATAAATAATAATATCGGATGAGTAGGAAGTCAACAATGATCATCAAGCAATGTTGCATGCCGAGTGTTTCTGTTTCTTTCCATGTTTCATTAAAAAAGAAAAAAACGAATTTCAGATAATATTCGACAGTAGAGTTGTAATCTATAGTCTTGCCTTTTATTTATACGATATATAAATGCAAACTGATTTGATTTAAATAATATACGAAATTAATATTTCGTTTCAAAATTATTCTAAAGAATAATAATCATTAACGAGTTATCGTTAATCACTCGGCTAGTATAATTGATGTGTGGTCAACAGGTTTACAACACATTGATATTTGTCCGTATATAATAACATGATTTATGATGAAATGTGTCTAAATTTTCACGATTAATTCTAAATCATTCCAATTTGTATTCATGACTGAAGTGTTGAGTAATCGCATGTATGATCTTTCTAATGATTAAATAATCGTGATTTATTCGATCTATTTGTGTCATACGAAAACTAAGTTTCAACTATAATAACGTACTTACATATGATTCATTGTTGATAATTTATCGTATTAATTCAGTATTTACATATGTAGGCTTGAAAATTGAACGAACAAATCAATCGATCTTAATTATTCAAATCTTTTATTCCCTTATGAAAACACATAGCTCAACTTACAACTATTACTAATGGTGGAGTATCAGATACCAATTCTATAGAATGTTCTATTGTTATTGTTTTTTACATATAATCCTAAACACAATCAAAATTCTAATATAGAATTCATTATTCAAATTTGTTTAGTTGAAATTAGATACTATCTGAAAGGAATCCTAGAATTAAACTCGACAAATAGAATTATTATACATCAATATTATCGATGAGACATTCTACTATTGATTCAATGATAAGGGGCTTATGAAATTGTTACGTAGTAATCTAGTCAAAATTTTTTTCATTACGTTTATGCATTAAATCCGAATAAATATTTCGTATTTGACTTCTAGAAAAAACAAAAAATCTTTTTAGGCACTCTTACTCAAACTGGGAGAAGTACATCGACTGTAAGTGATTATTTATCAGGTGGGAAAAAATCACTTCCATTGGGAACTAATGTTACTACACCTGCTATGACAAGAACTGAAGCACAAGCTAGTAGATATGGTAACAAAAACAAAACTAAAAAAAAAGTCTGAAAATTTGTTTTTGTTTTATTTTATAATTCTTCTTAGATGCTCAATATGTAAATAGTGATAATGATGAAATTGAAGAAGAATTAATGAACAGTGAAGATAATGATGATGATGATGATGATGAACAAAGTAGTGATGATTTTAGAAAAAAAGTTGATTTTGGTGAATAAATACAAATCATAGAAAAGAGAAACTAATTATATTTTTCGATTAAAATTAGGTATTGAACCATCACTTTCTGCACGTATTGAACGAAATGAAAAAGAAGCAATTACATCATCTGCAATGTCTGCATCTCGTACAATGAATTCTTTGGAAAATACAGGTTTATTATTTATAAATATCTTCATAAATATAAATCGAATATATTTTATAGATAGAAAAATTGAGAATAGAAAAGATTCTCTTGATGATGAAGATGAAAATGATCGAAAAAAACGTGCTGAATTAGCAGCAAATGCAGCTGTACGTCGTTTATCTAGTACTAATATAAATAAATCAGAAACTTATTTAACTAATGTAAATAGATCCTTTATTATTAATCATTTTTTTAATTAAATTTTCTTTAGGAAGATACATTAATTACACCACGTGAAGACTATGATCTAACTAAACTTCGAGGAAGACTTGAAGCGTAAATATATCTATACGTCAGGATTAGCTTTATCATTCAGTTATCTATAAAAAGCAACTAGTAGATTTTAAAATGTGACTTCGTAATTGTTTATTTGTATGGTAAATATCATGTTTATTGAGCAGATGGACTTCAGAAAAACAATCAAACATTCAACAAAGGCATTATAAAGTGAAAAGAGTATGAGTGCTCCCTCTAAAACCACATCTTGACTACTGTCTAATGCTCAATATCCTTAGATACACATATAGTTTCCAGTAGAATGCTTCCTTCATTATTAAATTCTATGATGGTACGCGACAATTATTAAGAAATTGTTTGTCAAGCCCACATCGAAAAAATTCTACCAGTTAAAAATCATTTATTATCTATTATTCCATAACAATTTAATATTTTGACATTTTAAAGTTAACTAGTTGCTTTTTAAGAGTACGTGATCTCATTTGAACTATTTGTGATTCTTCTCAAGAGTACAACCTATCGAGCTCAAATAATTTTTCCCACAGCTAGATTATCGAAAATGATAGGACTCATGCTTGAAAAAAAAGTTTTCAAAGCAGGTCTTCAGAAGTTTTTGAAGGGATCTTCAAAAAATCATCGAGTCTGCTTACGACCCCACTCTTACTTCGCCCGATCGAGCTGAAACATTTTTGAGAGATATTTGGGACAATGTCTCAGATGTGTCTTTAATCTTTTTGAAAAATATCAACCTATCGAATTCTAATATAAAAAACTACGGAAAACATCAGCTGAGAAAACGATTTTCGAACTTGTACC